ATATGATATAAAAACATGTCGCGAAATTTATTTTTGTAATGCAACAAGAATACTATATGTAAGTTTTATTGGCATAAGTATGTTTTATTTATTAAAATATTCAAATTTCGTGACAAGGATTTTTATCATATCATTTTGATATTGATTGTAATTTGAATGTATTGTTTTCTGAATAGGAAAATGACTATATAATAATGAATACGAAAAAAGCACATTCTTCATTGATCTAGTATAGTTGCTGACTTCTGCATTAACTTTTTACGATGAATATATTTGTCACTAAAATACTGTCAAGCACTAAAAAGAATGTCAATTTGCTCATTTTTTTTTAAATTCCAGTGAATTTTTTTTTATGTCCAGATCATCTGATCAAACAATGTTTTGATGATAGAATAAAAAAACTAACTTGCCATATCAGAATACTTTGATGACATTTCAATGAATCGACCCTTTCTATTTATTTTCGCAAGAAACTGTTTTAAGAATATTGCCTGACATTACCGTAGAGAGGGGCACTATTTTGTTGTAGCCACTTCTTTTTACATTGATTTATACCTTGAAATATATCAGTTCATAGTAAATTCGATTGACACGTCTCCTATTGTGTACATACTACGATTGAGATAGAATTTGACAAGTTTAGGCATAATACTCTCCCTGAATATTTGTAGATACTGTTTCCCTTTCAAATTATTATCAATAAAAAGTGGTTCAATTACCATACGATCAATCATTTCCGCCTAACAAATTCATCTCTCCGATAACTGCAGAAAATGAGTGTTACTCTATCGAACAGAAATATATTGTTCGTTTCATACACATGACATATTTTTTTGTTTCATTTCAATCAACCTTCAAACACAACAATAGACTAACTCAAAATTACCTACCATATAATATAAACTATCGATAACGACTTCGGAAAGTCATTCGTACCATCCAATAAAGCGAATAAAATATGTATAGAACTGCACAAATATCGTGCAATTGCTTCGAATTGATTTTCATAGCTAACTCAACCCCTATCTGAAACGTGAAAGTTCAATAACTGAGTTTGGACAAAAGAAAAAGCACGAAACCAAATCCTCAAATGAATGCAAATCTTCAAATTAGCCGCGATTGTAGTTAGTTTTTTCAAGGGTTATATCCCGAGTGCGCCAAGTTTGATCGATTAAAAGTGTGCAAATCCATAATTTTCGAAATTTCGCGAAACAAACGATTTGAGGGTAAAATAATTTGATGAGATACCGAAGCCATTTGTAGACGGATGTTATCTTAAACTATTATACACGATAGCATTTCTTTGAAAAGTAAGAGTACGGCTCTGCCGAACTCTAAAAACCTGATTTGGTCCCCAGCGAGACAGGCACAAAGTATATGCTCTGCTGTTTCATCATTTTCCAAACAGAGGCGACACACACACTGTCTTCCGACAGTCCGAGTCTCTCCATATGATAATTCAAATGACAGTGACCTGTAGGAAGGCCTGTTAGACATCGTAGTTCATCCCTACTGTAGTCCAACAACTGTTTGGTATCAAGCTTCGAAGGGTGAATGAACGCCTTGGAGTGAGCCAATTCTGGAAGATTCTGCCAGAAGTCCATAAATTTGCTTGCCATCCAAGTGTTCCATGTTTGTTTGGCAAAGCCTGAATCGATGCCAATGGCAGGATCTGACCCGATGAAGCTGCTTGCAGCACCCTCCTTCGCAAGGGAGTCAGCAGCCTCACTGCCTTCCAGGCCAGTATGGCCAGTATGAGGTTGGATTCTTCCAATCTCTCCGCACACAATTCAATAGCGTAAATTTCCGTTTGAAATACAGTCACATAGGTTTCCTAGGCAGGTAGATATATCTGCCCTGGGTCTGCGACTAAAAACACCTGCACGAGAACTGGAAGGTGTTTTTGACCCATCTGTGAATCAACAACTATCTGCTCCTAATATTTTCTTCTCCCAGAGGATCCAATCCTCTCTACTCGAAAACAGTACTTTATAAGGCAGTTCGTAGTTGACAGTTGGAGGCATAAAGTCAGAGGCGATTTTTAGAATGCTGTGACTTCCAGTGTCAACCAACAGTATGTTGCACTCTGCATAAATTGATTTGTGCTATTGGCAATGTGCACAAGCCTGTATGCAGTCCATCTAGCCTCTCCCTCCAGAAAAAAGTGGAGAGGAGGTAGATCTAGAAGGATCTCCATGGCCGCTGACGGTGTGGTACTGATGGCACTACTGATGAACAAACAAACCTGTCTTTGTAAGCCAGAGAGCTTTGCCTGGGTCGTTTTCAGTAAAGTCTTCGGCCACCAGACAATTGCACAATAAGTGATCATTGGTCCGACAATCATCACATAAATCCAATGGATTTGTTTGGGACCTAAACCCCAAGTTTCACCACAAATCCTTCTACATGTCCATATGGACAGTCTGGCTTTGTGTAAAACTTTTTCCAAGTGAGCGTTCCAAGTGAGTTTTTTTCAAAGACAATGTCAAGATATTTCGCCTTCGTTTCAATTTTCTCCTCCTGGTGAAGGTCATTATCACAGTTTTGCTGGGATTGACAGACATCTGCTCTCTCAGGCATCAACTGTGAACAACGTCCAACGTGCTTTGGTGGATATTACAAGCTAACCTTCTCGACGTGAACCTTGCCAAGATGACAAAGTCATCTGTAAAAGCTTGCAGATCTACTTTTCATCTGTCGTGAGCATCAAGCAGACTATCCGTCAGGAGTGACCACAGAAAGGAAGATAGTACACCACCTTGAGGGCAGCCCCTGGTGACCCTGAACCTAATGGCCTCACCTTGAAAAGTCGTAGTTGCAGTTCTGTTTACCAGCATGGCATAGATCCAGCCGGTTATGGTCGATTCTATACCTTTCCTAGCTAGAGACGATCCTATAGATTTAGGTAGTGCATTGTCAAATGCTCCTTCAATATCGAGAAATACAGAAACCACAATCTCCTTGTTGTCAAGGGATTGGGAGATTTTCTCTACAAGGTTGTTTAATGCTAAATCTGTCGATTTGCCGATTTGATAAGCATACTGGTGCTTATTCAGGGTGGATGCATGCAATGCCACCCTCCCTCCAAATTTTCTGTGAAATATGTGAACACCCAATCAGTTCATTTCAATGGTCGAACTGGTCTAGTGCATTTAATCGAAATGATTATCACAAGATCTCGAAATTTTATTGATAAATTTCCATTTTTCAACAAAACTTCGTTTAGCTAAACCATGAAATGAACCATCATGATAAAAACACGAATCTGTAAGGCGAATGGTTTGTATCTGTTGCTGGTTGGTCAATTGGCATTGCTGAAAATAACTAAGTTGGCGTTTCAATGAATATTTATCTAAAAAAATGTTTAGATCAGGTGGTATTCGTAAAGATTATTTCCAGAGGTATTCTCAGCTGAATGCGTCTTATAAGAACAATATATGATTTTACGGTTTTTTTTATATATATAACCTTCCACAATCTGAAAAATCAACAAAGCTAAATCAATAAAGAATCTGCTGAAGATGTAATAAAAGGCAAGCTGAAAAGTTTACCCCGAAAAGTTACTGCGTAATACAAACCACTGAGTCCAATTCATGAATTTTGTCTAAAAATTGAAAAAAATATTGAATATTCGTACTTAGCTCTCTTTAGTAAACGACGGTACGTCAAAACAAAGAAAGTTATCACAATTTGAGAAGAAAGTTGTATAGTAAACTTCTGGTTCTGAAAACGAAAAAGAGTTTTCCGAAACGTCGACTACTTAAAAAGCTAAGTATGAATGTTAATTTTTTTCAATTGATTTTTTTCCAATTTGTAGGCAAAATTCATAATTACAAGTTACTGACGAATTGGACTTTTCAGTGGTTTGTACTACGCAGTAACTCTTTGGGTTGAACTTTTCAGTTTGCCCTTTATTACACTTCAGTAGATTCTCTATTGATTTTTTATATTGTGGAAGGTTATATACTTAAAAACCGTAAAAAGTACTGAGTCCTACACAAAAAAGTATTTAAAGGAATAATCAAATATCAATTCTGAAATTAAATTTTATTACCTGAATAACGAGAAATTTCTTTGAAAGTTTTGAAACTTTCTTATATATTCCTACTGAAGTCGAGTGGCAACAGGTGTTGTTCATACTTGAATGCATGAGTATATCCATCAATTAATTCAGTATACTTTCCATTGATAAATCATTAATGTGGTGAACCACAGAATGAACCTTGAGTTACATCAAATATTACTATTCCCTTACAAAACATATGAATGCCAAACAATAATAAACACAGCGACAAATAAATACAGTGATCATCTAAAAAATCAATTGGAAAACTTTTTTGCCAAATTTAGTTACATCGCCAATATTGTTTTCAGTGAAATTGCCGTTTTCTTGTTTTTATTAGAGATTATTCAGTCGCCAAAGTTATTACAGCTTGTCAAATGTAGGAATTTCTAAATTTTGATATGATCCCATCCACCAGATTCACGTTCGTTAGAGAATGGTGAGTATAAGGAAGAGAAAGAAATAAAGTTTTTGGCTTTCTTTCCCAAAAACTAATCACTTCTAAAAATATAACCACTTTAATTCAAAGAAAGAAATAATTATCAAGTATCTTCCTAGATATGACAAGATATAGGAACATGTTCCATTGTTTGTCTTATTTTCATTATATTATTCCAAAGAAGACAGTAGTTTGAAAGTTTTTTAAGCACACTCACTTCTTCGAAATGTTTAAGAATTTGATTTTGCAAAAACTGATATAACTAAAAGTGACTGGAAATTGTAAATTATTTTGATCACACTGAAATCTAAATATTTAGTTGCATTCCATTTGACACGCTATGTACATCTAAGAAGAGGTGCAACATGCATTTCAAAAGTTTTAGTACAGCAGCACCAGTACATAGATTCGTCTTCCAACATATCTTTCCTCTGATGATATTTTTTCTTATTAGCAGTTATTGTATCTAATAACCCACTAATATCTACTCCTACGCAGCCAAAACTACAAAACGGAAACGGTCCCCAATCGTTACCTCCACAATACGAAGGCCCTCCTATTAATCCGCAAAGGCCTCTAACCAGAGTTGACAGCAGAAGCAATTTCCAATTCCGTCCTCCTTTTCCCAATCAACCAGGGACTCCAATCAGGCCAGGACCAGGGCAAGTTCGTCAGTCTTTACCACCAGGTTCACAGCAATTTCTACAAAGGAACCCTAACGCAGTGCCTATACAACGACTACAGGGATCAATTCAAGGTCCGCAAGGAATTTCACAAGGGCCAGCTCCTGGTTTTCAAGGCATTTCTCAGGGACCACCTGGTCAACCATTTCCAGCAAACCAACAAAGAGCCGGCTTCAGACCTCAGACTCCTTTCCCAAGACAGGCATTTCCTAATCAAAGACCTCCAGGCATATTTCAACAGAGATCAGTTCCCAGTTTTGGGAATTTGAGACCCCAAATTCAGGAGGAATTAGGTAGAAGTCAAACTCTGGATACTTCAGAGACTGATCATTCTAATATACCTAATGACAACAAAATCAACAGCAATGATTATATTAAAGCACCCTCCATAGCTGCTATGAACAACAGAAGCTTCAGCTTGAGCTCGAACCCTCCTGAACCAACCGGAGAGACTAGAGAGGAAGCTAGACGTAGATCTGTGAGCAGCGTAGATAGTATGGGAGAGGGAAGACCGGGTTCAAGGCCATTGTCTAGACAGAGTTCCGTTTCTGGCTCCAACGAGAATTTGGATAAGAAGCCGGATAATGAAATTCCATCTAGACCAGAGTCAAGGTCGACCTCCAGAATGAATAAGATTATTGAAGATGAGGATCTGTCCACCAATTCGTTAACGGAAATTTCCCAGAAAAGTCCGGATCTGAGCAATATAAGTCCGAGTACAAGCAATTCTCCATCTCAGCCAACCGTTAGCAAGACTCCGGACAGCGCAGGAAGTCAACCTGTAGCCAGAGAACCTCTGGAAAATGGCACCAAGGATGGGCCAAGTGGGACCGGAAAATACTTGGATTTGGGAAAACCGCCGAAGCCAAAATCTCCAGCGAGATCAGGTTATTATAGTTCCAGAACCAAAAATACGATGAATGAACTGAAAAGGTCTTAACTTCTTTTCTTTTGTTTCAGAAGGCGATAACGACAGTGGTGTGGATGAATCTACTCAAGGAAACGTGAGTATTATTTTTTTCATTCAAATAGCAAATAATCATGTAGGTTTGAATACTTAAACATTTTTTTTAAAGAGGAATCACCCAACAGATGTTCTTTATCACGAAACAAATATATTTGATCCCGTGTAGCTCTTCTTTCTGCTTACTAATATAAAATGCTTCAAATCAAAACATAAACACCCGAGGATAGAACACGAATACAACACTCGAACAAAACAACTTAACTTCAAAATGCCGTTTATGAACAAAGTTGTAGGACAAAAAAGCTACAGCTACCTCAGCCTCAAATTTTTTAATTCGCTACCCAATCAAATAAAAAGTTCAAAAAACCAAAATGAATTTAAAAAACGATTAAATGACTACATTACCAGTTTGCCACGTACAGAGATACATAAAATAGTGTATTGATAATATTTCTGTGTCTATACATATATTNCTGTAGATGCAGAGTTCGACATTTGTTAATCATATTGAGCTGATAATAGGGATTTCAACTTTTTTTTGAAGTTCATCAGAGTATATGTACTGTAATCATGCGGAAGTTGATTATAGAACTTACAGGCGTTGTACGTGAAAGATCGCTGATAAATGGAGGTTTTATGTTTGTACATTGTACATTATACATTATATCTTGCGGGGAGCTGATATCAGTTATCAATTCTAGAGAGGTGGCTTCTTTCGCTACCACATCTACTTTTTTTATTTCCGGCAATACCCGAGTGACCTTTGATCCAAATGAAAACAAGGTCAATTTCAATACTGAAAAAGTACTCTAAAGTTTTCATAATTTCAAAAATAAGTGAATTTTTATTGATATGTCTTTCGTAGTTAGTAAGGGAGAGGACAGATTTGGAATCCGATAAAATGACTGAACCAGCTTCGCCATTATATTTAACCCTCAAAAGAGCTTGAAGTATAGCTCTGTAAATCGAAGTATTACTGGGAAGATGGAATTGAGAAATAATATTTTTGTTTTGTATATAGAATGCACTTCCAGTGCCATGATTACTTTTAGACCCATCACTGTATATTGTGTTAGAAGATTCAATTGTTCCCAGTACCGATTTTATTAGAGCTTCATTGAGTTGAGAATTCTCTGAGAAGTTGGGGAATATGACCGTTGGTTTGAACATCAACATAGGAAATTCCAGCTGAAACTGAAACAATATGTTTTGAGAGATAATGTCATTTTTCCTCTCTGATAAAATGTATGGATCAAATGTACGACCTGTAGAACAATAATGAAGTCCTGGGATCTGCCCCCAATCGATTTCTACAAACACATTTGAGAATGTTTATGCCTTTTTCACATTTGGTTTGAACATAGTTGATATGCTTCTGCCATGTTTAAAAAAATCTGTTTAAAATCTGTTTTTCCGTTAACCAGATGTCGCACCCCTACGAACGACAACCCTCAGAAGTCGAAACTTGTGCGAGCTAAGGATTAACGAGGTCTTACCTTTTAACGTGTGATTCCTAATCTTATTATCTAAAATTAACCCTAAATATTTATAATTGGGTACAACTGGAATAGACAAAGAGCCAAGATTGATGTTGTCTCCGGCTCTCAGTCTGTGCCGAGTAAAGAACATTACAGCTGATTTTTCTGGAGCAAGAGAGAAACCATGTTCGATTAACCAATTTTTGAAGCAATACATTATGTATTTAAGGTCGACTACACATTTGGAATACGTCTCACGAAATGTATAAATACAGATATCATCCGCATATTGAATACATTTTATGGGATGATCGAAGACTTTGTGCAAGTTTGCTGTGTAGATAATAAATAAGATAGAACTCAATACGGCTCCTTGAGGAAGTCCTTGGTTGACAATCCTGGGTTATGATCTTCAATATAAACATTCCTGTTTCTAAATAGTTCAACAATATTGGCTGAAGTGTTCGCATTAAGCCTAAAATTACTGAGTTTTGACTCGAGTATGTTCAAAACAACTGATTCATATGCCCCCTTCAGATCCAAAAACAATCCTGCTAAATAATGATTAACTGAAAAAACACACTATATGTCTGAAATAATTTAGGTACATGCCTCAATAGTATCTTTGGCCCTGCGAATTCCGTACTGAGATTTAGGAAGTACGGAATTATTTTCAAAGAACTATTCTAATCTCGACTTTACAATTCCTTCATGTTTTGACAAGACACCAAAGAAGCGAAATCGGTCGATACGACGAGGGATCATCAGGATATTTTTTAGGTTTCAGAATGAATATAACTATCACGTCTTTGAGTGCTTGGGGTAGTTTACCTTGTTGCCACCGTTGATTATATATTTGAATTAGCAGATATTCAGATTTTTCTATTAAGTTCCTAGTCATAGAATATAGTCACACACAAACTGGAAACAGTTTATGTGACTTCCTCTTTTATTGACTTAACTTTTTTACTATGACTATATTTTATATTGTACCTGAAGTTAATAAATAATAATAATAATAATTGTGTGGGCATTTCTGAGATTTTTACGGATAAAGTCATCACAGACAACAGCACAGATCCAATTGGAAATTCGGTTTTGTTCAATTAATTGAGAGAATAGAGTTATCAATTCATGATCAGTGAACTGTGTTTATCACTACCATTCATAACCAGATATATTGACTTTAGGGCCTCTTTTACCACAAGTAACAGTTCGACCTCTGCCTGCGTCAATATTATTAGCTGTTTGTTCAATTTATTTTGCAATTTTCATTAACTTGAAGAACTGAATATTATCAACAAGTTCGTATCTCTCAGAACTAATTCTGTTTCGATACATTCTATGCGTGCAGAATATTCCGTTTGATGTTATATTTCAGGCTTGTTTGCAATAAACGAGTTTCGTCTTGTATGAACTCAGTGTCGATTATATCTACAAACCTTACCAAAAATTCGTAGCTAGAATAGTTTTCTAAACTTGGAATGTCTGAAGTGAATTGAATGAATAATGGAATAGTTTTTGTGGATCTTCGGTATCCACTATGGTCATTAGTCTCGTGGCCTTAGAAGGTTATGTTATTAACTCCCCTAGGGAGCTTCTTGGCTTTTCGCATTCCCATTTGATGCACTTTCAACACTATTCATTATTTTTTTAATAACCCTCCCCTTGGCATCAAACCGGAGTTTATTTTGGCACAGAATTTTTGAATCAATCCAGTTACTACGTTTTATATTGATATTTTAGATGTAATTATGAATATTAGAATTATATTGTATATTTTTTCATTGAGTGTAACTAAAAGGACTGTTATATCGGTTGGAAACGAAACATTCGAGGAAAGTAAATTATTTAAGAAATCTGTCAGTTACAGTTCAAAGTTGAGACATGTGAATATAATGTGATTTATATCCTCTAAAGAAAAATTGTCGCATGAGCATAATGCATTCAAATCAATGTCTATTTTTACCAGATGTGCTGGGAACTTACCATGGTTCATTTTCATTCGTGTGATGGTAGTGGCGTGAAATCTTAAAAAGTTGAAGTTGTCTATGTGGGGGATACTTTTAAGGATAGTGGGGTGGATTCATGAATGATTTTTTGATTTAGAAGAGAATTCTTTCCAGAGTCTTCCCCAATTTAGTCGTATTTCATATCTAACGTCTGAAATAATAATAATAAATCGTCTTTATTCATCTTTGGATACATATGTAAAGAAATATTTATCCTCTCTGATATTGCGGCGAAGGCCTCAGCCAAAGGGGGGTTATTTTTGTGGTTCCAGTACCGATTAACGAGATTTTCAATTGATATGTAAATGGCCCCCATAAGGTTATTAAGTTATAAGTTGATGTTGACTAATTTCTTGCAGGACAGATAATATCTGCGTAGGAAGAGAGGAGGTTCCTGAGCTTCCACAAGTAGATATAGCTGGGGTTGGAGGTGATTTAAAAGCGACAAGACACATTTTTAAAGCATTTGCTTGCACTCGGTCTATTAGTAACAGATTTGAATCTGCGGCTGATCCGTACAATGTACATCCGTAATCAAGTATGGATCGAATGTACGACCTGTAGAACAATAATGAAGTCCTGGGATCTGCCCCCAATCGGTTTCTACAAACACATTTGAGAATGTTTATGCCTTTTTCACATTTGGTTTGAACATAGTTAATATGGTTCTTCCATGTAATCTCATTATCTAAAATTAACCCTAAATATTTATAATTGGGTACAACTGGAATAGACAGAGAGCCAAGATTGATGTTGTCTCCGGCTCTCAGTCTACGCCAAGTAAAGAACATTACAGCTGATTTTTCTGGAGCAAGGGAGAAACCATGTTCGATTAACCAATTTTTGAGGCAATACATTATGTATCTAAGGTCGACTACACATTTGGAATACGTCTCACAGACTGTATAAATACAGATATGCAAATTTGCTGTGTAGATATTAAATGAGATAGGACTGAATACGGCTCCTTGAGGAAGTCCTTGGCTGACAATTCGGGGTTATGATCTTTAGTATAAACATTCCTATGTTTCTAAATAGTTCAACAATATTGGCTGAAGTGTTCGCATTAAGCCCAAAATTACTGAGTTTTGACTGGAGTATGTTCAAAACAACTGATTCATATGCCCCCTTCAGGTCCAAAAACAATCCTGCTAAATAATGATTATGTGAAAAAACACACTGTGTGTCTGAAAGAATTTGGGTAAATGCCTCAATAGTACCTTTGGCCCTGCGAAATCTTTACTGAGATTTAGGAAGTAAGAAATTATGTTCAAAGAACCATTCTAATCTCGATAAGGAGTCATCAGGATATTTTTTAGGTTTCAGAATGAATATAACTATCACGTCTTTGAGTGCTTGGGGTATTTTACCTTGTTGCCACCATTGATTATATATTTGAATTAGCAGATATTTAGATTTTTCTAGTAAGTTCCTAGTCATAGAATATGTGAAACTGTCTTTACCAGGTGCGGTGTTGCAAGTATTTTTAAGTGCTATATCTAATTCGGATGAAGTTAATTTAGAGGATATGTAGATTTCTTTTTCTA